GTATTGCAGACCAAGATTTGAAGTCTTACATCTGAGCAGCACTTTCTGCTTAGGAACAAAGTCATCTATGAGAAATAATTGTCTAAATAACATTTTAAGAAGAAGCATTTCATTACAGCTTTAACATACTCATTTTATATGGACTTAAGCCTAATGTCTGGGAAGTATAATCCCTTGAACTCTTAAAGAAATACACTGATCACTTTAATCTTTGGTTATACTTTTCTTTTGGGTGTTTAAGGCCATACAGTTGGCCCAAATAAACCAATTTTTATTCTGTTCCTCAGGGGTCACATGGGCTTGGGAGGAGCCCCTGGCTCCTTTCTTTTACCAGTTCCATCTATGTGAAGATAAGTCAAAGGTCCTGCTTAAGCATGTCTGGCTTCACTTGGAAGCATGGAGGAAATGTTTCCTCCGAATTGACCCTCCTCTTTGTAGACTGGACATTGGCTCAAGTTCATCTCGTGGGCTCTCCATGGCCTCCCTGAACAGGACATTTTGAGAGATGCTCCATAGTCCCCTGGAACTTAGTCAACCTTGGAGGGCAAGGACCAAAACCTGTCCTCTCAGTCACTCTGACCAGATTAGTATAGACCTCAAAGTATGGCTGCTAAACATCCAAGAAGGTTAGTTCCACCAGTCTGGTACTTTTAATTACCATGTGCTATGTAGATAAAGCTTGGGCAAAAACCAAACATTTTCAGATAAACCTTGGTTAGACATACATTTTGTTTCTTAAACTAATTGTCTAAGCTATGACCTTAGAAAATTTAAGATTCTGTGTGTACTATTTTTGTTGCATCCTTTATCTATCATAGCAAACATGCACAGACCTTTATCTTTTGCTTAGTCTTTCTCATTTTTTTCTGTTTTGGAAAATATCTCCATTCCCATATTCTTTTAACATCTTTTACATTCTCATTTTCTTTTTTTAATAATTATGAGATGTAATAACATTATTAAAATGGAAACTATGGACTTTTTATTCAGTAAAATGTATCAATTTTCTCTCTCATGATTTCGACTTTCTTCACTTCAAGTTTATAAATGTACTTGTATCCCCTTTGAGGATGTCTATAATTTCATCTCTCAGCTTCAGATCATAGACATCTATAAAATTTATTTTCATCCATTAAGTGAAGGCTCTGGTTTCAGTTTCTCTCTTGGTACTTGATTAGTCTGTCATTGTTCACTGAACCTCTCACCTGGGTTTTCTCAGTGCCACGAATCTGTGAGAAGCCACGCCATATGCACTGGCTCTCTTGCCACACTCGAATTGCCATGATACATTTTAATGTTTGGTGGCTCTTGTTCTTTCTCACTTGTTTTCTTTTATGTGATTTTTTTTTGTGACTATGATTGCATATTTATTTTCTGTAATAAATTTCATACTAATTTTGCTTATATCTGGTCCCTTTCTCATATCCAACAAAAACAGACCACGTAGGATTTTTTTCTGATGTTATAAGTTTATAAGAATAAAAGAATGTCAGACAAAGGGAATACAGGAAAAAAAAGACTTTTTTGGTGCTGACTGAGTGAAAGAGGAAAAGACAGGGGTCGCTTGTAAGAAGCAGTAAGACACAAGCTGATTAAAGTGCAGGGCGTGGAGGCACATGGCACCTCTGAAGGCTGGGATTGACAACTGGAAGCCTCAGTGAGGAGCTGTGTGAGCCCTGGGTCCTCGCTGAATGTAAGACAAATGGCTGTTAGGCATGAGGATGGGATGTATGAGGAAGGGAATGGGATGAAGGTAAAGATAGCAATAAAACATGTCTTTCTATAATAAAAAATAAATAGAATGTACATGCTTATTATGGAGATAAGTTTAATAGATAAAACACACACAGGAGTTGAAAAGGATTATGGAAACAAGGGAGAGGACAGGAACTGGTTTTTTTTCAGTATAGGCTTAAGAAGTGCTAATAAATAGTGCTAATATTTTGTAGACTTTTTAAAAACAGGCTCTCAATAGGTAGCCCAGGCTAACCTCAAGCTCAGTCTTCCTGCCTGTGCTACTATGCCTGGGTATTTGATAGCATTTTAAAGCTTTGTACACATATTAAAGGCATGAAGAAGTGACAGGGTGGGGGGGCTTGGAATTCACAGTGTTAGAACACCCACATAGCATGCCCATGACCCTAGATTTGATCCCCAGCAACAAAAGTGATTAAAAGAGCAAGAGAAACAAAAGACTATGCAGTGATGGCAAAGTGAGGCCCTAGCACAGCATTAGGCTTGGTATGTAGGTTTTTGATAAGTGTTGAATGAGTGACTATTATTCCATTATTTTGAAAACTCTCCAATTTCCTTTATTAACATAGTGGAAGAATTAGAATGAAATAATGTGCTTTAGGGACTGAAAAGTGGTTAATTTGGAAGATTATGTATGAGAAACAAGTGTTTTTATTTTGAAAAATCTAGAATATTAGATGACCTTTGAATAAAGTTTAAAAGAAAATCAGAATTTGAGATTATTATAGACTTTTCAACAGGAAATTTGGTGGTTAAAAAATATCAACCATGGACATGATGGCGCATGCCTTTAATCCCAGCACTCAGTAGGCAAAGGCAGGTGGATCTTTGTGAGATCATGATTAGCCTGGTCTTCACAGTGAGTTCAAGGCCAGCTGGGGCTACAAAGGAGACCCTATGTCAAAAAAAGAAAAAGAGAGAGGGTGGGTGGAGGAACAAGGTACTGAAGAGATGGCTCAGCAGTTAAGAGCACTGGCTGCTATTGCAGAGGACCTGGGTTCAATTCCCAGCACTCACATGGAAGCTAACAACTGTGTATAATTCCAGTTCCAAAGGATCCAGTGCCCTCTTCTGACCTCCGCGGGCATTGCATGACACAGGTGCACTTACAAACATGCAGGCACTGCACTTATAATTTATATTAGAGGGCTGACTCATGCTTTGTTTATTTATTTAGAACCCACCAGCCATGACCACTACCATCCATTCAACCATGACCACTGCCATCCATTGATATGTGTTTATCAAGACATGACAATATAGCGTTTACCAGAAAGTCTCTCTAGCTCAGGAACCAATTTATAACTTAGGCCTAATAATTTTCATTCTTCTCTTTTTGTCTGTCTTTGAAATAGAATTAAAACTGTCTGCCCCAAAGTAGAGAATGGGTATACAAGGAATCCTGGCACTTGAATCCTTTGTTATAAGACTATAGATGTATTGACTGAGTCTGGGAGGCTTTCCTCTTTTCAAGAAAACAGGATGCTGCAAGCTAGAGACTTATAGTAATGTGATGTATGTAAAACAAAGTACCCTCCTGAGGGACCCCGCAGTTCTGATAGTGAGACAAATAACTGTTAAAAAGGTAATTATTCAGTATTAGGTGAGTGTTTATTCTCCAAGAAGGAGAAAGCTTTACTAACAGAACTCCACTACAGAGTTCAGTCCAATATTTACTTGTAAGTTGTAATGGGCTTTACAAGGAAAGAACTGTTAGAAAAATACCAAGACTTAGTATTGTATCATATTCTTTTTTTTGGTCGTTTTGAGACAGGGTCTCCCTGTAGCCCCAGCTGTCCTGGAACTTACTATGTAGACCAGGCTGGCCTTGAACTCACAGAGATCCACCTGCCTCTGCCTCCTTAGTGCTGGGATTAAAGGCATGTGCCAACACACCCAGCTGTATCATATTCTTAAAGGAACAAATTTGATTTGTTTCTCTTTGTAAGACACAGCTGTGATTGAGTCACATTGTATGTTCTTCTGTATGTTTTGTAAATATTGGTCTAATTTCTTAACCATACACATTGGCTTTTTACTATGACAATTTTACACTCATGATCTACTCTGTTAGACTAAGCTGCAATTATTTTCGCTACATACTTATATAGGAAAATAATTTCATGTCCAAATAGAATTTAAGTTGAAGTTTCAAAAGTAAAATGCTGTACCAATTAAGGTTAAACGTGTAATTGATTTGGGGGTCTTCTGTATAAGCCTGTTCATTGAAAACCGTATCTCAAAACTTTTGTTTCTAGAATAAATTACTGGAAACTAAGCAACAGCAGCAAGAAGAAGAAAGAGCCAAAATCCAACAAGCCGAGCACAGAAGGTATAACTGACCAATAAACTAAGCATCCTTGCTAAAAATCAATTACTTATAAAGTTTTACAGCATTTTAATATTATTAAATGTTCCCTTCCATGGGACAGAGCATCAAGCTCCTGAGACTATACTGTTTTGTAAACTATTTTGCATTGGTAAGGATAGCCAGATACTAATGCTTGGGCACCAAAGCTCAGATTAAAACCCAGCACTTGGGAGGCAGAGTCAGGCAGATCTTTGTGAGTTCAAGGCCAGCCTGGTCTACATAGTGAGTTCCAGGCCAGCTGGGCCTACAAGGAGACCCTATCTCAAAAAAGACAAAAAACAAACAAACAAAAAAAAACCCTCATTATAAATATTTTATATTGACTAATACATTAGAATGGAAAAAAATTCAAGATACAGCTTTTCTTTTTTTGTCTTTTTGAGGCAGGGTCTCCCTGTAGCTCCAGCTAGCCTGGAACTCCCTATGTAGACAAGGCTGGCCTCGAACTCACAGAGCTCCTCTTGCTTCTGTCTCCTGAGCGCTGGGATTATGACATTAAAGGTATGCGCCACCACACCCAGCTCTCAAGATTACAACTATTAAGTAATTTTTAATAGTTTACATCCTCTTATTCATAGAATCAGATGTGTTTTGACAGTACCCAGTAAAACACTATGTTAATGTTGGAGCACTGCTATAACAGCACATCACCTGTCTGTCACTGTTATGCTAGGATTTTCCTGGGAGGCTTCTGGGTTGAGTATCTTTGAATTTAATGTACATGCTTTTATGATTTAAGGAAGCACATTCTTATGCAAGTGGATGACTTCTCTTATGTATTTATGTATTTAACTGTCCTCCATCACTAAAGTATATTTTTGAGTTGTGACAACTTCATTTTGTAAATGAGAGACTTTGAAAGATGTCCCCACGAATGCCCCAGTTCCAAGGATGCCCTTATCAGTGGGTGGGAGCTGGTGTTCTTTTCAATAGACCATACTGTTCCATAGTCCTGACAAAATAGCTTTAAAATGTCAAATGTGAATTTATGTTTTTCTGTGATTTAGGGAAACATCAAAACTTTGAGATATTGGTTAGAACATTTTGTTAGGTGAGCTGAGGGAGGGTGTGACCCTTTTTGCTACCTATTTATAATAAAGTACACCATAAATTTTCTAGTCCCTTTGACTGGTTTTGCCCATTTTCTCTTTGAAAGACTTTTAGTTAAAAAACCCACTGATACTGTTTTTAGATAGCAATGGTTGCCAATTATTTCTTTAGATTTCTAAAGATTAACTGGATTAGAAAGCTTTAAGCATCTTAAAGATAGTAACATGTCACATAATTGTCCCCATTGCTAATGAATTAACCTTTGATGAACACAAAATAAAAGTGCATGCTGTTTGACTAGAGGTGGAAAGGATTTCTTTATGGTTAAGGGAATCTCGGCCCTCATTCTTTAAATTTATTTCCATACTACAAAATACATAAATAAATATTGTTTTCTTTCTTATTAATTCTAGTTAATGGTAGCTCTAAATTTAATCTATGAGGTAATTTCTCTAGATAATAAATTCAGCAATCAAGTTAAACAAGTGACCAAGCCCTTAGATACATATCTTATATTCTTGATCTATCTCTGAAAAGATTTGTATTACCTTTAAAGTTTATAGAGTGCTTTCCTATGGTATCATGAGGCACACATTCAGCAACCTCTTAAGGAGCAGAACAGTGGTGTCCATTCTGAGGGCAACAACAGAATCTATATGGTTTGCAAGTAGGGGATATTAAGGTAGGTATTCTCCAGGGCATAATTTCATTAGCGTTTAAAAGGCAACAAGCTTTCTCCTGTGTAGAGCACTCAGCCCTGAGTTTATAATGGAAAGCTTGTGGGATTCCTTACAAGCTTTTCATTGAATCTTGCAATGAGCCTGACCTGAACCTGCCCCAAACTTAATCCTGTGTAACCACTTGAGCAAGAGAAGCATGTAAACACCACAGAGAATGGGGTCAAAGGCTTGAAAGGCTCTGGGCGGTGAGGTGAATGCCAGAATGAACTGAATTGAATTATAAGAACTCGGACCATCTCTGAATAATAGTTCTTAATCCGAATTAACCCTCAGAAGAAAACCCAGAGCACTCACTTGACAGCAACAAAATGCATGTACTGTCTTCAGCTACTCAACAAAATCATAACTGGACCTTTTCCTCCTTGTTTGGCCTCTTGTTGGCAATAGAGAGACGTGAACTCTTTACTACCTTTATCTCTGCTTGGCCCATTCTGCAGTGGACCAGCCAGTTGAGGACCTTTCTAAAAGAAAGCACTAAGTAGAGTCCAATCCCTCTTCCTCTTATCAACTGAGGCCTGAGAATGAATCATGTCACCTTGCTTTGTGACAAACCAATCAGAGCAATTGGCATTGAACTGTATTTTGTGTCCACTTCCAAAGGGGCTTTTATGGAACAGCAGTTGTCCACAGCTGTGGTTAGAGGTAGGGAGCATGTGCCTAGAAGATTCATTCTCTCAATGAGTAAATTATTAGGCCATACCTTGCCAAGGCTTGGTTCTAGATAATGGGGTAAACCAAGCAGAAGATTCCTGACCATGTCGAAATCAGAGCCTGGAAGACAGAAAAAGAAGTCAACAATTAAATGGCAAGACTTTTTCAAATGGTGATAAATAGCATGAGGATGTTATCACAGAGTGAGCAGTTAGAAGTGAGGGGTCACTAAAAACCTCACTGAAGAGCTGACATCAAAGGATGAGGAAGAGCCAGTCACATAGAACTTGGGGCAGAGACTTGTGTTTAGATGACCCCTTGTTATCATCAGGATGGCAAATGCAAAAGGTTCTATTGTGAGAATTAGGTTGGACTTTGAATGCCAAAGATTGGATTGTACTGGATGAGGGAGAACAGTGCAGTGTGAAAAGAAAGGCAGGGAAGATGCAATGCAAGATTGCGTGAGCCGGGGGTGACTTTTCTCTCAGTCCATTGAGAAGCTACAGGAGCATTTTAACCAAAAGGAAGGCGAGACTGCTTTCCTAACTCAGGAGGTTGTTACATGGAGAATGAATGAGGGGATGGCCAGGGCCTGGGGGGAGGGGGCAGTAGCCCAGAGAGGTGATGCTGCTGAGAACTGGAATCGTAGCCATGGAAATGAATGAAGTCACGAGGCGCTGAGTAGGTAGAACAGTCAAGACATCTGGTGTGGCTCGTGTGAGGTGAGAACATGTTGGGGATGCTGAGAGCAAAGCCTTTTTGTGATAACCAAATGCCCAGATAAAGGGGCTGGAGAGATGGTTCAATCCATAAAGTACTGTTGTGCAAGCACGAGGACCTCGCTTCTTGTACACATGTAAAAAACAGGGTCCGTCTGTGACCTCAGTGACTGGGGAGAGAGGAGAGGCACAGAGACAGAGGGATCCCTGGGTCTTGCTAGGCAGTCAGTATCGCCAAATTGGTGAACTCTGGTTCAGTGAGAGAGACACTGTTTTTAAAAATTAAGGTGGAGAGTAAATGAGGAAGACACCCAATGTTGACTTCTGGTCTCCACACACGTGTGCACACATGTGCACACACAAAGGCTAGATAAAATAGCCACAGGTGTTTAGGCAGTCCAGAGTGCCCTAGGCTGTGTTGCTCACAGGTGTCAGGTCAATTTCTTCCTTAGTATTCAAGGCTGCAGTTCAGTAAGAGTCTGTTTAGCCTACCTGCTGAGATTTTAGACTAGAGACTTAGATATGTAGCCCTGCAGTGAGCCAAGCTGTAGCATTTGCATAGATTTCTATAGTGAGAACCAGGGAGCTTTGTCAAAACTGAGATGCAACCACTGCCTGGTGGGACTTGACATAGTAGAGAAACAGCAAGTCAATAACCAGAGATCAGAATAAGTCGAAACACAGTTAGCATCTTGGTTAGCCTAGAGTGAGCACAAAGAAGCAGCTTACAGCCCCTTACACTGACACTCGGCCAGATTTTCCTACAGGTTCTCAAATCTCTGATACTTACATTCACCCTCCATAATCAAATTCTGCTTTTTCATTACTGAAAGAGAAGCTAATATGACCAGTTCCCACCTTCCCTTCTTTCCATAAATGTGTACTGAGTGGCTGCTGTGTTTCTGCTCCAAGAAACTTGTAGTTTTATTTGCTCAGTTTCTAAGTAATCCATTGATATTTATCTGGCTTCTAAATCACTAACTCTAGTCAGTCATGCATAGGCAACTTACAGCATGGTGTTGACAAATATTTAGAATAATGATTACTTATCAGGTGAGCCTCTAGGCTCAGAAACAGAATAGCTCTAGCCTCTAGAAACAGAATAGTCAAACCTCCATATCTGCAAGTCTTCTGAATTAAAATTACTCAAAAAAACCCCAAAAGACACCTATGTCTGTCCCTAATGTGTTCCAACACTCTCCCTGTCATAATTCCCCAAACAATACAGTGTAATAAGTGTTTAACTCTTTACATAGCAGTTGTAGTGTATTATAGGTAATCCACAGATCATTAGAGTATATGGGAGAATAGGTGTAGGAAACGCACAGGTGCTGTCATTTCCCGTAAGATACATGAGCATCAGTAGATTTTGTTACCTACAGGCCGTCCTGGAACCAATTGCTCATGGATGTAAGGGCCATCACTGTACTGACAGCCCTCTTCTTGATCTTTGTGAAAATAATTTTCTTTAAAAAATTTTTATTTTTATTCTATGTATATGAGTGTTTTCACTGCATATATATAGTGCACCAGTGTCATGCAGCGCCCACAGAGGCCAGAAGAAGGTGTTGGATCCCCTGGAACTGGAGTTACAGACAGTTGTTAGCCATCATGTGGGTGTGGGGAACCGAATCTATGACCTCTACAAGAGCAGTCAGTGCTCTTAACCATTGACCATCTCTCCACCCCTGAAAATAATTTTCTTATTAATAGTTAATATCTGAACTTGGTGTTTGCCAGCATGACAGAACATCAGGGAAAGACGTGCTCACTCCTGTTTAAAGTTTGAGCTCCTCGCTTCCGTTATTTTTTCCTCCCTGCTCATTTCCCTTCTGCATTCAGCTTCTGGCCTTTCTCGAGGACTGTCAGTGTCGTCGAGCATACATGGTCATGATGTCAGTCTTGCAATAGTGCTGCAGACCTTTCCTTTGCCTTTTTTTTTTTTTTGTCTGATTTGGTTCTTACCCAAACTTCCATCTCTCCTCAGCTACTGGGTTTTGTTACTTGGGTGATGGGTGATCAAAGCTCTTGCTAAAGTGGTAGAAAAATCAGTGAGTGAAACTCTGAAGTTGAGAATCTTTGCCCTTTGGGCCTGTCACTAGCCTCAGTAAAGGACTCTTATGGATGCCTTATGTCACTGGACTGACTTTCTACAGCCTTCTGAGCTGAAGGAAGGAAGCAGTCCTCACATCAGTTCATACAGCATATTCAGTTCTCAAAAACCTCTTAGCCCTGCAGCAGACCTGTTACTTACACACATTTTTCACTGTTTTAAAGGGTAAATAATGCTTTTCTGGACCGACTCCAAGGCAAAAGTCAACCAGGTGGCTTCGAGCAGTCTGGAGGCTGTTGGAATATGAATAGTGCCAACAGCTGGGTGAGTTTTTCCTTTTCTTTTAAAAAGTCATCTTTCTAAGTCAGAGAATAAAAACAGTAAGCATTTTAAAAATATGTTGTGACTTTTCCCCTAGATCTCATTATTATTTTGGTGTGCTGCTTAGCTGTGTGATGGGAAGTCAGCTGGGATGATTATTATAAATTCCACGAGGAAGGGAAGAGAGGGAGAGGTGGAGAGAAGGAGGGAAGGGGAGAGAGAGAGAGATTGAGAGAGATTGGATTTCAGTTATAGCCATTGGCGGGAGGGGGGGGGCAACACCTGCCTTTTGTTCTCAGACTGATTATCTGGCCTGTAAGGTTTTTTATCACCTTTTGCCCAGACCTACAACAAAAACAAATTAATATTTTCCTTACAAGGAGAGTTTAAGTGAAATGTAGTTATGAAAATACCACACATTCTTCTCTAGCAATATGCTGCCTCAGTGAAACCAGATCAGCAAAGAGACCATTTAATTTTTCACTACAAAATGTTAAGAACATAGAGCCAAAGGTACTTTTTGAAAATGAAATGTTCTTATATATTTCTGTGTAAAAAAAGAACCCTTGCAACTATATGTGTTTAACGTATCTTATGTTCACAACATATTGTTGAACCAGCACCAAGACTTCAAAGTATGTGTGTGTGTTCAGAATTAACCACGTTTTGCAATTTAATTAAACTCCAAGTGCATAAGAACTCGCTCAAAAGCATGTGTGTGTGTGTGTGTGTGTGTGTGTGTGTGTGTGCATGTGTGTGTGTGTGTGTGTGTGTGCTCTTATGGTTTTATATATATGCATATTTGGAAGGGAAAGATCAGATAAAAATTTTTTTTTGAGACACAGTCTCCCTGTAGCCCCAGCTGGTCTGGAACTCACTATGTAGACCAGGCTGGCCTTGAACTCACAGAGATCCACCTGTCTCTGCCTCGCAAGTGCTGGGATTAAAGGTATGTGCCACTATGCCAGCTCAGATAAATATTTTTAAATTGGAAAAATATAACAAAATAATGGCTCAGTGGCTAACAGCAGTTGCCATCAAACCTGACAACCTGAGTTACATCCTTGGGACTTGCATGGTAGAAGGAGAGAACTGATTTCTGTAAGATGATCATCACACTTTGTGGCACACACACAGATACATACACAAGTAAATAAATGTAATAGTAAAAAAAAATCTTAAAAATAAGACTGGGTGTGGTGGCACACTTCTGTAGTCCCAGCACTTAGGAGGCAGAGGCAGGTGGATCCTGAGAGTTCAAGGCCAGCCGGGACTACAGGGAGACCTGTCTCAAAAGACCAAATAAAAGGTGTTTTTTTTTTTTTTTTTTTTTAAATAAAATGCTTGTTAACCTGGAAACTAGATAATAAATAACAATAAATAATTGAGGGGCAAAAGATTATTTTTGAGAAATTAGTGTTAGAAATCTTATATGCATGACTCCTGGGAAGGCATCTAGTACCAATATAAAAACTGATAGATTTTTATGAAAGTGTACACATTGAAGATAATTGACCATTAGCAGAGAATATTTCCCTGATCATGTGTGTTTCATCCATAATGCATGTTTATTTGTTTTGTATGGTATTCAGAATAAGGATAATGTGGAAGAGAATAATTGAAAGGCAATATTTGTGACAGAATGCACTTTACAGACTTATTCATGAGAATATGAGTGTATGTGAGTAGGCATCACAAGGAAACAATTGGAAATAAAATTTAGGTCAGGACTTGGGAATTCACTATAGCTCTTCCATTTCTCTACCACTTAGCAACTTCTAGAATTTAGAGAGTACCTAGAAAGTACTTGGGCTGAGGGGAAGATGATGCGAACAACGTGACCGCACAGTACATAGCATTCAGCTATGGAAATGAGGATTTGGCCACCCGGCTCCCCAAGGACTATTAGCGAACCCTGGAGAGTGAGTTACAAATTCCATTACTTAGACTAATGGAACAAACCATATGCTCATGATGTTATGGTGGCAACAGTTGGGGGCCACTTTTTAGAGGACAAGCACATCCAAATCCAAGGTGGCTATTGGCTTTTCTCTTGCTTGAAAGAATTGGCAATAGAAAGGTGACAATTTCTTCAGACCCCAACTTCTACCTCTGCTTACCTGCAAACATAAAGACTTCTACGTGTGCTTTGCCTATGGACCACAGTCTCTCTATTTTACCTGTTGAGGCACTTTTTTTATTAATATTTTTCCCTCTCTCCCGAATCACCAAACATTCCATCTAAGTAGAAAATTCCATTAGTGTAGCATATAAATAAATAAATTCTACTGATACCTTGCTGTCTTTACTGTAGTTTCTTCTTTCTTTTAAACACAGTCTTTCTCTGTAGCTCAAGGCTGGCATGGAAGTCTCAATCCTTGTGCCCCAGTCTTCTGAGTGCTGGGATTATAGGTGTGCACCATCAAGTCTGGATCCATTTAAAAAATTTAAACCACTCTATCTAATTAAGTCTTCTTGTCTACCAGTCTTTTAAAATGATCTTTTCATAGTCACCAACATCAACAGTGAAAAATTTACCTTTTAGTCTCAGTCTGTGGCCTCTCAGCACTTGTTATGGCGAATCTTCACCCCTGAAATTGTTTCTTTACGTGACTTCTGGGTCTCTCTCCTTTCCTGGGACTTCATATATCTCAGGGGCCATTTCTTTCCATTCTCCTGTGCTGAATCCTATGTACCTGCCTGTCCTCTTCAACACTGGCATGCTTTGGGGAGTCACTTGACTTTGTTTCATTATTACCTTGGTGGCCTTATTTTGCCCAAGGAAATGAAATATCATCTATATGCTTACTGCTCTTAAATTTCAATTTCCAGGAGACACATTTCCCTCTAGATTTACACATTCAGTTTTCTCTACCTAAATATATAGTAGACATTTCAACCTTGACATGTCTAAAACTTAATTTGTGCCCCCTCCATGCTGATGCTCACCCTACACTTTCCCTTTAGAGTACAACCCCTTATATCCTCCATAGCTGATCGATCTGCAGATCCCCTTGAGCCTTCCTTCCAAATGATTCCAATCAAATAACTTCTCAGCACCTTCGCTGCATCCTCTTTTCTCCAGCCTCTACCAGTGCTTTATAGATCTGACTGTCATTTCCTAGGTTGTGGTCTTCTGTTCACAGTTACATACCTGGAATCTGTTCTGAGAAGGAGAGCAACAGAAATCAGATCTTGTCAGTTTTCTGCTCAAAACCCTCCAATGTTCCCCCTAGCTCTCTGTATCACTTGGGGTAAGAGCTAGTACCTTTATGTGGCCTCCCCGGGTACTGCCTGAGGTGGACCCCCATCTTAGCCTCCTTGCTCTTTCCTGTCAAAGTCACCTCTGCCTGTACTGGCATCCTTGTAGGTGTTAGACACTTCAAGCACTGGTTGCTTCAGGGCCTTTATACATGCATCTTCTTTTACACTCTTCTTTGAAGGATCTGTACTGTTTCTTTTCAAGGTTCTTTGATTTCTGCTGTCTTAATAGGGCAACCTAAGCCATTCTCTTTTAAGGTTTGCAATTTCCTTCCCATATTCTTCTTTATTTTCCCACAAAAATCTTCCAGTTTTAACATACTTTTCTAACACTATTTACTTACATGTTTTGCTGTTTATTTTTAATCTCTCTTAGCCTATGTTCCATATGGATAGGTCTCTTGAATTGTTTTGTTCACTGATACATTCCAAACATAAAACCATCACTGGAACTTACTGCATACACAAGGGAATGAGTCATTGTGATTGCAGGTCATGAACACAAGAAAAGATTTAGCCAATGCTTTTATATACTAAAATGAATAGGTATTGAAGATAAAATAGCCATGTAGGAAGCATTTGCTAAAAGAAGAATTGTACTTGAAGTAATGAGCAAAACCAAGGTACAACTAAAGATAACTAAGGAGCTGGAGAGATGGCTCAGTGGTTAGGTTAAAAGTACTTGCTACACAATCATGAGGATTGGATTCCAGCACCCATGAAATAAGCTGGGCATCCCATGTATGCCTTAACTCTAGCTCCAAGGGTGGCAAAGACAGGAAGATTGCTGGGTATTGCTGGCTTCCCACCTAGCTAAGAAAACATGAGCCCCAGGTTTTAGGAGAGCCTTTGCTGCAAAGGAATAGGCAGAGCATAATAGAGGGGAACACTGGATACCCTCTGGCCTGTGTACGTGCATCTGCACATACACATGTGCATACATTCACATATCACACACAAAAATAAATAAATATATATTTTTAAAGATAACTAAGTCTTAACGCCAGGTGTGGTGGTACACACCTTTAATCCCAGCACTTGAGTGGCAGAGGCAGGTAGATCTTTTTGAGACCAAGGGCAGCCTGGTCTACATAGTGAGTTCCAGGTGGGCTGGGGCTAGGGAGACCATGCCAAAAAAAATAAAATAAAATAAAATAAAAGAACAAAGTAAAACTTGTAGGAATCAAACAAACAAACAAACAAACAAAAACCCTTTGAAACTAAATAGTTCAATGAAGTCATCATAATAAAATAAATACAAATATAAAATGAAACCGAAACACCACTGCTCATCCAC